AGTCAAACAACGAGTCACAACTCCTGAAGGAAAACAGATGGGAACCTACGATCCCAATCCAGCGCTGAATACCATCATGTATGAGGTTGAATTCGACGATGGAACGGTCAGGGATTATGGAGCAACTGTTTAAAGGATGTGCATTGACCTCAAAAATAATCGTAAAACCTTGATGCCTTAAAATTAATTGTGTTGATGTGAAAACATCCAAGCAAACTATCGCTCAACGTACGCATAAAGCGCACATACAAATCGCTAGTGTTGTCGGCTTCAGTCAGCGAGCCAACCAGTCTCAGGTATGTCTGCCTGGCCTTAAAACACTCCTCTCAAGCTGGAAACGCGCTAAAGCGTAACAGATTGCAAATGGGGCAAGGACTTTGTTTCAAAGGTTGGACAAACAGTTCACAAACAAGGGTTTCAACGAAACAGGGTACGTGGTTCGGTCAGGGCTGGAGACCTACATCCACCAGTACATGGATATATCGAATCATCGATCAATATCATAGACATATCGAATCACACATCGATAAATATCAAAACATAGAAATATTGAATCACCGATCAATATCATATATATATCAAATCACACATTGATCAATATCATATACATATCGGATCAATCATCAATAAATATCAAAACATAGAAATATTGAATCACCGATCAATATCATAGATATATCAAATCACACATTGATCAATATCATATATATATCGAATCACACATCGATAAATATCAAAACATAGAAATATTGAATCACCGATCAATATCATAGATATATCAAATCACACATTGATCAATATCATATATATATCGGATCAATCATCAATCTTTTTGATGTTCATCAAAATTTCTTTATTGTATGATGATCAGAAAAGGGGTCAGACAAACAGGTCATCCTCGTCATGTAGTAGTAGGGCAGCATCAAAAATTCGGGATGTTCCTATGCAGCATATTCGGGAATTGTAGGTCGGACCGATGTATGTCGGTCAGTATCACTCAGAACAGAACCACTGGATCCAAGCACATTTACATTGGCGTGGATGTCAAGTTCAGTCCTAGAATCAACCGGATGCTCAGCAGTAGTGTCATCAATTTGAGGTCAGCCGCAGGTGTGGCAAAGAATGGTGGGGACGTATTCATAGAAATTGTCGTCCATCATCTTCCGCCAGGGTTGGTCTGGTGGCTCAAGAATCCAATGCATCGCTTGTAATTTTCAATACATTACTGATACAACAGTGGGTTCCGCCGTGACCAGTCAAGCCTTGCTCTTATCGAGAGTAAAAGCACTGACTTCAGTAGATTTTCTTCAGCCTTTTGTCTTGGTCGACTTCTTGGAAAATTCAACCGTCTTTGGCTCATTTTGGCTCATTTCAGAAAATCAAAGCGTCTTGTCGTTTCAGGCATTGACTTTAAAGGAAAACGCGTTATAGAGAGCATTAGTCGTGGCTGTAGTAGCATCATAACAGAATCGTAGAGTGATGGGAGCTGATAAACTGTTTAAAGGATGTGCATTGACCTCAAAAATAATCGTAAAACCTTGATGCCTTAAAATTAATTGTGTTGATGTGAAAACATCCAAGCAAACTATCGCTCAACGTACGCATAACGCGCACATACAAATCGCTAGTGTTGTCGGCTTCAGTCAGCGAGCCAACCAGTCTCAGGTATGTCTGCCTGGCCTTAAAACACTCCTCTCAAGCTGGAAACGCGCTAAAGCGTAACAGATTGCAAATGGGGCAAGGACTTTGTTTCAAAGGTTGGACAAACAGTTCACAAACAAGGGTTTCAACGAAACAGGGTACGTGGTTCGGTCAGGGCTGGAGACCTACATCCACCAGTACATGGATATATCGAATCATCGATCAATATCATAGACATATCGAATCACACATCGATAAATATCAAAACATAGAAATATTGAATCACCGATCAATATCATATATATATCAAATCACACATTGATCAATATCATATACATATCGGATCAATCATCAATAAATATCAAAACATAGAAATATTGAATCACCGATCAATATCATAGATATATCAAATCACACATTGATCAATATCATATATATATCGAATCACACATCGATAAATATCAAAACATAGAAATATTGAATCACCGATCAATATCATAGATATATCAAATCACACATTGATCAATATCATATATATATCGGATCAATCATCAATCTTTTTGATGTTCATCAAAATTTCTTTATTGTATGATGATCAGAAAAGGGGTCAGACAAACAGGTCATCCTCGTCATGTAGTAGTAGGGCAGCATCAAAAATTCGGGATGTTCCTATGCAGCATATTCGGGAATTGTAGGTCGGACCGATGTATGTCGGTCAGTATCACTCAGAACAGAACCACTGGATCCAAGCACATTTACATTGGCGTGGATGTCAAGTTCAGTCCTAGAATCAACCGGATGCTCAGCAGTAGTGTCATCAATTTGAGGTCAGCCGCAGGTGTGGCAAAGAATGGTGGGGACGTATTCATAGAAATTGTCGTCCATCATCTTCCGCCAGGGTTGGTCTGGTGGCTCAAGAATCCAATGCATCGCTTGTAATTTTCAATACATTACTGATACAACAGTGGGTTCCGCCGTGACCAGTCAAGCCTTGCTCTTATCGAGAGTAAAAGCACTGACTTCAGTAGATTTTCTTCAGCCTTTTGTCTTGGTCGACTTCTTGGAAAATTCAACCGTCTTTGGCTCATTTTGGCTCATTTCAGAAAATCAAAGCGTCTTGTCGTTTCAGGCATTGACTTTAAAGGAAAACGCGTTATAGAGAGCATTAGTCGTGGCTGTAGTAGCATCATAACAGAATCGTAGAGTGATGGGAGCTGATAAACTGTTTAAAGGATGTGCATTGACCTCAAAAATAATCGTAAAACCTTGATGCCTTAAAATTAATTGTGTTGATGTGAAAACATCCAAGCAAACTATCGCTCAACGTACGCATAACGCGCACATACAAATCGCTAGTGTTGTCGGCTTCAGTCAGCGAGCCAACCAGTCTCAGGTATGTCTGCCTGGCCTTAAAACACTCCTCTCAAGCTGGAAACGCGCTAAAGCGTAACAGATTGCAAATGGGGCAAGGACTTTGTTTCAAAGGTTGGACAAACAGTTCACAAACAAGGGTTTCAACGAAACAGGGTACGTGGTTCGGTCAGGGCTGGAGACCTACATCCACCAGTACATGGATATATCGAATCATCGATCAATATCATAGACATATCGAATCACACATCGATAAATATCAAAACATAGAAATATTGAATCACCGATCAATATCATATATATATCAAATCACACATTGATCAATATCATATACATATCGGATCAATCATCAATAAATATCAAAACATAGAAATATTGAATCACCGATCAATATCATAGATATATCAAATCACACATTGATCAATATCATATATATATCGAATCACACATCGATAAATATCAAAACATAGAAATATTGAATCACCGATCAATATCATAGATATATCAAATCACACATTGATCAATATCATATATATATCGGATCAATCATCAATCTTTTTGATGTTCATCAAAATTTCTTTATTGTATGATGATCAGAAAAGGGGTCAGACAAACAGGTCATCCTCGTCATGTAGTAGTAGGGCAGCATCAAAAATTCGGGATGTTCCTATGCAGCATATTCGGGAATTGTAGGTCGGACCGATGTATGTCGGTCAGTATCACTCAGAACAGAACCACTGGATCCAAGCACATTTACATTGGCGTGGATGTCAAGTTCAGTCCTAGAATCAACCGGATGCTCAGCAGTAGTGTCATCAATTTGAGGTCAGCCGCAGGTGTGGCAAAGAATGGTGGGGACGTATTCATAGAAATTGTCGTCCATCATCTTCCGCCAGGGTTGGTCTGGTGGCTCAAGAATCCAATGCATCGCTTGTAATTTTCAATACATTACTGATACAACAGTGGGTTCCGCCGTGACCAGTCAAGCCTTGCTCTTATCGAGAGTAAAAGCACTGACTTCAGTAGATTTTCTTCAGCCTTTTGTCTTGGTCGACTTCTTGGAAAATTCAACCGTCTTTGGCTCATTTTGGCTCATTTCAGAAAATCAAAGCGTCTTGTCGTTTCAGGCATTGACTTTAAAGGAAAACGCGTTATAGAGAGCATTAGTCGTGGCTGTAGTAGCATCATAACAGAATCGTAGAGTGATGGGAGCTGATAAACTGTTTAAAGGATGTGCATTGACCTCAAAAATAATCGTAAAACCTTGATGCCTTAAAATTAATTGTGTTGATGTGAAAACATCCAAGCAAACTATCGCTCAACGTACGCATAACGCGCACATACAAATCGCTAGTGTTGTCGGCTTCAGTCAGCGAGCCAACCAGTCTCAGGTATGTCTGCCTGGCCTTAAAACACAACTACCATTGCTGAAAACCTTCTTACGCAGGTGGATGACGATGGTTACACGAACACGATGTTCAAAGCCATTGTTGACTACAAGAAAGATCCGAAGGTGGCTGTATCAGAGGAGAAGTCTTATGTCATGAGCAAGAATGGACAGAGACGAACTCGAAAGACCACCAAAGGATGGAAACTGATGGTCCTATGGAACGATGGGACACAGTCTTGGATTGACTTGAGCGTTTTGAAGGAATCCAATCCTGTTGATGTTGCTGAATTTGCAAAAGCGCATCATATTGATGAGGAACCTGCATTCCGCTGGTGGGTACCTTATACACTCAGAAAGCGAGACATGATCATCTCTGCTGTTAAGGCCCGTGTCAGAAAGACTACGCACAAGTACGGTATTGAAATACCAACAAGTGTAGAACACGCAAAGAGGCTTGACGCCCAAAATGGTAACAACTTGTGGATGAAAGCGTTATCTAAGGAAATGTCCAACATTGGTGTTGCAGTTGAAGTGCTGGCCTATGGCGTGCTAGCACCTCCTGGATATTCAAAGGTCACTGGTCATCTAGTATGGGATGTGAAGATGGATTTCACTCGCAAAGCCCGATGGGTACTTGATGGTCACAAAACACCTGATCCCCTGTATTCTCAGTATGCAGGAGTGGTATCACGTGAGAGTGTCAGAATTGCCTTTACCTATGCTGCCCTGAATAACCTGGACGTTTTTGCTGCCGATATCCGAAATGCTTACCTTCAAGCACCCTCATCCAGAAAGGACTATATCATTTGTGGCCCTGAATTTGGATTGGAGAATGTTGGAAAGGTTGCCTTGATTCATCGTGCATTGTATGGCGGAAAGACCGCAGGACGGGATTTCAGGAACCATCTCAGAGCTTGTATGCATCATCTGGATTTCCTGTCGTGCCCTGCTGATCCCGATGTTTGGATGCGTCCTGCTATGAAGGATGATGGCTCCGAATATTGGGAATATGTCCTTCTATACACCGATGATGCGCTGTGTGTTTCTATGAATCCGGAAAGGGTTCTCCGAAAGGAACTTGGGAAGTATTTTGAGCTGAAAGAGGAGAGCATTGGCCCTCCGAAAATCTATCTTGGCAGTAATGTACGAAAGGTTGAGTTGGATACTGGTGTTCAATGCTGGGCATTTGGATCCTCCCAGTATGTCCAAGCCGCTGTCAAGAATGTGGAGAGTTACCTCAATGACCGTTGCAAGGCAGGAGATGAGCGATTTAAACTGAAGCCCAAGGCAATGACGCCGATGCAGACCTCCTACCGGCCTGAGCTTGACGTGAGCCCAGAATTGGAGCCGTCTGATGCCTCATATTATCAGTCGCTGATCGGAGTCCTACGATGGATTGTTGAGCTTGGAAGAGTTGATATCTGCCTTGAATGTTCTTTGATGTCTTCGCAACTGGCTATGCCAAGAGTAGGACACTTGCATCAAGTGCTTAGCATTTTCTCTTATTTGAAATCTCATCACAACGCTGAGTTGGTGCTCGATCCAACCTTTCCTGTGATCGATGCTGCCGGATTTGAAAGGAAGGATTGGTCAACCAGCGAATTTGGTCACATAGAAAACTTGAAGGAAGAGCTGCCTCCAAACCAGCCAGAACCAAAAGGCATTGGATTTGTTACAACTGCCAAAGTGGATGCTGACCATGCCTCTGACACAACTACGAGACGTTCTCGAACTGGTTTCTTTGTGTGGGTAAATGGTGCATTGGTGTACTGGATGGCAAAGAAGCAGACTGCAGTTGAGTCTAGCAGTTTTGGAAGTGAATTCTGTGCAATGAAGTTGTGCTGTGAATATCTTCGTGGCTTGCGATACAAGCTAAGGATGATGGGGATTCCTGTACTTGGCCCGTCCTTTATCTATGGAGATAACAAGTCGGTGTTGGCCAATACAAGTATCCCTGACTCTCAATTGAAGAAGAAATCTCAGTCCATTGCATATCACTTCATCCGTGAAGGAGCTGCGAAAGACGAATGGCGGACGTCGTATGTCAACACTCATGAGAATGACGCTGATTTATTGACTAAGCAACTGCCCTATGGTCAAAAGCGACGAAAGTTTGTGAATCGCCTGATTCATCATGTCTATGAACATAACTAACTGATATTGATCGATGTGTGATTCGATATATCTATGATACTGATCGATGTGTGATTCGATATATCTATGATACTGATCGATGTGTGATTCGATGTATCTGTGTACTGGTGGATGTAGGTCTCGATCCCTGACCGAACCACGTACTTCGTTGAAAACCTTGTATTTTACTGTTTGTCCAAGTATGAGCAAAGTCCTCGCCCCATTTTGCAATCTGTTACGCTTTAGCGCGTTTCCAGCTTGAGAGGAGTGTTCTAACGTCAGGCAGACAGACGGAATGTCGGTTAGTACGCCAAATTGAACGTTGGTGAACGTTGGCGATGCTAGCGATCGTTTACGTGCATGTTTTCGCACACAATTCAATTAATTTTCAGACAACAAGGTTTTACGTCTTTTCCGTTGTCATCACCCAACATCTGAACAAGTTCGCCGTTTACACCCAAAAAGGTGATGAAGGACTAACTTAGCTTCATATGATATACTCATCAGCAATTAATTTTCATCATATTATTGCATTCATCATCATTGCATTCATCATACAATAACCGAAACCGCATTCGGGCTCTT